TGGGGGAAAGAATCTGGCCGAGTGTCCTGAGCCCAGGGGTCAACTGTTTGGACCTGCTCAACACACACACACACACACACACACACACACACACACACACCAATGATTCTTATGGCTAGGATCTCTACAATGTGGCTTCCAACCCTGGTCCTATGGTGGAACTATGGTTGGGAAGTTGGAGAGCCAGCATGAAGACAATGAAGAGAGAGTCCCACATGTAGCTCAGAAGATGCCATATACCCAAACTTTTCTGTTTCCACCGCTGGGCTGATAGGGCTAAGCCTGGGCTGGTTTCCTTCCCCTACAGATTGGCCGCCCTCTGTTCAAGTACTGTCAGCCTCTAGGAAGAAATCTTAGTGTTGACTTAGCAGTCCAGACCTGCCTGAGTCCTGGAAGGCCAGTACAGGCAACCCTCATGCTCGCATGTCATTGCCCCTCATGTATCTTTTCCAGCAAGCTCACTGCCTTTGCCATTGTTATTTTAAAAGGTATATAAACCAATGACTTGGGTAGATAAGATGGTTCACTGAATAAGGACACTTGCCACCAAGCCCGATGAACTGAATTCTACCCTTATGACTAAAGAAGAAATCCAACTGTGAATGTGGTCCTGTCACCTCTATGGTATGCCATAGTAATTGCTCCCTCAGGCAAATCAACAGCAAATAGTGAGACCAGCAATGGAGAACTGGTGTTACTACCTGCAAAAGTTCAGCTTTGGAAGATGAAGTGTAGAGAGGAACATAGTGTGGTGAGGTTAAAGCCACTAAACTGTGATCAAAAGGATTATAGTGGCAACTTCTATATTTTATCACAGCAAAAATTAAAATAGAGCAAGACAATTCTACTTGGTTATCAATTCCCTGTGACTATTGCAAGCATTAATCTGGCAGCTACTATAATAAAAAAAAAAAAGTGAAAACAGGGCTTCACAACACAAACCCCTAATCCCAACACTGGGGAGGCAGAGGCAGACAGATCTCTGTGAGTTAGAGACTAGCCTCATGTATACAGGTTCCAGGCCAGCCAGAGCTACAAAATGAGAAAATAAGGAAAGTAGCCTGCCTTTAATCCCAACACTAGGGAGGCAAAGGCAGGCAGGCCTCCGTGAGTTCGAGACCAGACAAGAGCTAGTTCCAAGACAGTCTCCAAAGCCACAGAGAAATCATGTGTTCGATTCCCAGCAACCACATAGTGGCTTACAATCATCTATAGTGAGATCTGGTGCCCTCTTCTGGCCAGCAGGTATACTTACAGGCAGAACACTGCATAATAAATCTTAAAAAAACAAAACCCAAAACACCCCCCAAAAAACGAGAACTGTGAATATAGCTAAGTGGTAAAGCATTTGCCTAGCAACATGCACAAGACCTTAGGTTTAATCTTTAACAACAAAAATGGTCTGTGTGGCGGGGGTGGGGGGTGGGAGGGTGTACTATTTGAAGGCAAGTGCTTCAATTAAACCCTGTCATAAGGTTGGCATTGGTAGTAAACACCAGCAATCTCAGCATTGAGGAAGTATAAGCAGGAAGATAACTTTAAATTCAAGGACAGCCATAGCTTTACCATAGCAAAACCGTGTTTCAAAAAAAAAAAAAAAAAAGGCTAGGCTTGCTGGTACACACCTTTAAAAATCCTAGCACTCAGGAGGCAGAGCAGTGGAAGGAGAATCTCTGTGAGTTTGAAGCCAGTCTGGTCTGGTCTAAACAAGTTTCTGGCCAGACAGAGCTACATAGTGAGATCCTGTCTCAGAAAACAGTAGAAGTAGCTGGGGCAGTAGTGGCACAGGCCTTTAATACAGCACTCGGGAGGGCAGATTACATGCAGTGGATATCTGATATAGAAATGAATACTTTACATTGGTATAGATTTTGGTTTATTGATACAAATTTAATGTCAATTTTGTTATACTATATATTTTTATTCTTGCTTAAGGTATTATGTCTATGCAGCTCATTTAAAAATGTAATGTATACCCAGCACTTGGGAGGCAGAGGCAGGTAGATCTCTGTGAATTCAAGGCCAGCCAGGTCTACAGAGTGAGTTCCAAGACAGCCAAGGCTACACATAGAAACCCTATCTTGAAAAAACAAAATACAAAACAATAAAAATGTAAAGAAAAAAGTCTGGGTGGTGGTGGCGCATGCCTTTAATCCCAGCACTCAGGAGGCAGAGGCAGGTGGATCTCTGTGAGTTCCAGACCAGCCTGGTCTACAAGAGCTAGTTCCAGGACAGCCTCCAAAGCCACAGAGAAACCCTGTCTTGAAAAATAAAAGAAAATAAATAAATAAAAAATAAAAAAAAAAATGTAATATATACTTAAATACAAATTGATACTCATCTATAGTAGTCAAAATTATAGTCATGTTAGTTAGGTTTCTAGATATACACAGATGTATTTCAGATGGATAGGTAATGTTCAAACACTTCAAAGACCTAAAGAATATGGCATTTAAAATGTTTTAAGAACTAGAGCTGGAAAGATGGCTCAGAGGTTAAGAGTACTGACTGCACTTCCAGAGGTCCTGAGTTCAACTCCCAGCCACCATATGGTGGCTCACAACCATCTGTAATGAAATCTGGAGCTCTCTTCTGGCCTACAGGCATACATGCAGGCAAAAACCTGTGTACATTAAAAAACAAACAAACAAAAAACCAGGACTTTTCTCAGTGAGACAAGTCTGCTCCTGGAAGTACCAATTACTTCAAGAGGATGATGGGCATGGATGATGGGCATGGAAGAAACTACTTATGGGGTTTGTTTCCAATGTGGCAAGACTAGCCATTTGGACAAGAACCTTCTCTTTCCTGGACTGGTTGACTGTATGCTGTATAAACTGGACATGCAGGACCCACAGGGGAATGACTGCTGAACTTGAGAAAACAAGATGGGATGGTCCTTCAGGGTTCCTGCTTCACAGAAGAAACATTCTACAGGACACAGAAGAAAGTGACTGACAAACTGCCAGTACAGGCAGGACAGTTTCAAATGGCCTGCTTCACTGAGAAGTCTGTCAGACACTCTAGGCCTATAGGCTGAAGATGGATGTCCAGTGTTACAGAACTTTGGATGACTGTCCAGGCAGCCAGATGTCTGTCATTTCTAAAGTTTTGGAAGTTGCTCACAATGCACTTCCTGTTCATTTAGGTAATATTATATCCTTCTGGGTTCTTTGTTGCCTGGAGTTGAAGACAGATCGTTATAATTAAGGTTTTCTTTAGTTATGATAAAAGATAAATTAGAGGGGCGTTGGTGGTGCACACCTTTAATCCCAGCACTCGGGAGGCAGAGGCAGGTGGATCTCTGTGAGTTCGAGGCCAGCCTGGTCTCCAGAGTAACTGCCAGGATAGGCTCCTTAGCTACACAGAGAAACCCTGTCTCGAAAAAAAAAAAAAGTTTTGGGCTGGAGAGATGGCTCAGAGGTTAAGAGCACTGGCGGCTCGTCCAGAGGTCCTGAGTTCAATTCCCAGCAACCACATGGTGATTCACAACCGCCTTGAATGAGATCTACATGCAGGTAGAAGACTGTATACATAATAAATAAAATCTTTAAAAAAAAGAAAAGATAAATTAGAAGCTGGGCAGTGGTGGTACACACCTTTAATCCTAGTACTCAGTAGACAGAGGCAGGAGGATCTCTATAAGTTAGAGGCCGGCCTGGTCTACAGAGCTAGTTCCAGGGCAGCTAGGACTGTTACACAGAGAAACCCTATCTCGAAAAAATAAAAACAAAAACAAAAAGATAGATTAGATATATAACTTTAGACTCATAAAGATAGGATAGATGATAGAGTATTTTCTTTAAATTTGCCACATACAAACAGACTAAATATAACTGTAATTCTTGCTTGATACTTGTTTTGTTATATATAATTTTACAGTGTTTAAGTTAGAACCATTTTTTTTACTTAATATTTATGAGCATTGGTGTGACAGAATCAGATCCCCTGGAACTGGAGTTACAGACAGTTGTAAGCTGCCATGTGGGTGCCAGGAATTGAACCCAGGTCCTCTGGAAGAGCAGTCAGTGCTCTTAACCTCTGAACTATCTCTCCAGCCCCCAAGTTAGAACCTTTTTAATTAGACAGAAAAAGGGTGATGATGTGGGATACCCCTATGTATGCTGTGAATATGTTTTATTATCATTGGTTAATAAGGAAGCTGACTTGGCCAATGGCCAAGCAGAATAGATCCAGGTGGGAAATCCAAACAGAGATGGGGAAAGAGAAAGAAGGAATCAGGGAATTGCCATGTAGCCGGAGTTAAGACACTAGAGCCTTACCAGTAAGCCATGGCCATGTTACAATACACAGATTAGTAGAAATGGGTTAATTTAAGTTGTAAGAGCTAGTTAATAATAAGCCTGAGCTAATAGAACAAACAATTTGTAATTAATATTAAGCCTCAGAATGGTTATTCATGAACTGATGGGTGGGAGAGAAACCTCCAGTTACAGATCTCTGAGTTTGAGGTCAGTCTGGTCTACAGAGGGAGTTCCAGGATAGCCAAGGCTACATAGAGAAACCCGGTCCCAAAAAAATCAAACCAAAAATAAACAAATAAATAAAAATCAAAAAACAAACAAACAAAAAAAGCCACCACAATGAACCGTGGAGGACTAAATGTCACATGGCAGGGTCATAGTGCCTAACCCAGCACAGTACAGTGCAGGTGGTGTGGTTTGTGGCCTGTGGTTTGGACTGATTTATGAAGCCTGCAAACTGCTTAGAGTTTTCAGGTGCCAATAGGAAGGCGGTGATGTTGTGCAAGAAGGAAGCAACCTAGGTTGCCAGATTCCAACCACATCTGGTCCGTGGCAGGTCTACATATTCCCAACTCGAGGAGCTGTGATAAGTCACCTTGCCCAGCTATCATCTCCTATGGAGGCAACTCTATGTGTGGGATGAGTAACAGGACCAGGACACCTTGTTAGTTTAGGGGCAGTGGCTTCAAGGGCTCTGTATCCCCCAGGAGGGTAGACAGATCACACAGGGCTGGCTCAGCATAGCTGTCCACAGTAGGACGGTCAGACAGATCTTTATTGGGGGTAACTTTCTGACAATATAGACATCTAGGACAGGGGAGTTGGGGCGGTACATCTCCATCAGTCTCACTCCCGCCTCGGTGAGGCTCACGCATGCAGGAAGCGGTTAAAGGCATTGTAAGCTGACTCCAGATCAAAGAGCATCTGGCGAACCTGGGAGTCGTCCAGCTCATCAGAGGCCGACATTCCACTCAGAGTCTGCAGCCTAGGGACACAGGCAAACAATTGTATGAATACTAGGACTATAATATCACCATGAGGCACCCCCTGTTCAAGAAAACCACTCACCATTGGCTGACTGTTTGGCGGCCCTCAAAGTCCGGGGGCAGGTGGCTCATCCGGTGCATGGTCTCCATTAGCTCCCGTAGGTCCGGCTGAATCTATAGATACAAGTGCCAGGATGAGGCCCTACCTATCTTGTTCTGTTCCCCTCTATCCAGGCCCAGGTTCGCTGCCCAATTCCTGTACCTCGTCCATGGCGCGGATCTCCAGACGCAGCTTATCCATTATTGTAATGAAGAGCTGGGTGGGGGGCATATGTATTAGACATCTCCTGTTCAGTTGGGGTGTAGAGACCCTTTGCAGCTAATAGGCCTGTCACAGGGCCAGGTTCTCACCCATTTTCCTCCCCATACCCTGTACTAGGGACTCTTTTCTGCCTGAGGGCTACACCGAAGACCTGCCTAAGTTGGTCTTCTGGGTCCACAGACATTCGGAATCACACTGAGAGTAGTGTGGGAATCTTGGGTACATTCCTGCACAACTCCCTCAATCTGTGGCCCTGCCAGAGTACACCCTGTGTATGTTCCCTTTCAGTCAGGTGAGGCTCAGGATCCATGGATGCTTCTCCCCACACTCAGAGTTGAGGTAAGCCCTCCCAGGTTACTGCTTAGCTCCAGAAACTCCATGTACACACACGCATGACTGACCCGGGCCAGTAGTCCCTTCTCCCTAAGCCCCACAGGGCCCTCCCAGGAGCTGTGGGACACACCGAAACTACATCTGCAATACAGCGGTTGAGATTGCCCTTGTCATCCTTGATAGTGATGGGTCGGTCTTCCTTGATCCTCTCCATGGCAAGTGGGCAGTCCAGCTGAGAAGAACAGACATGGGTTCTGGGCATCTCCTGGCCTCCAGGAAGTCAGGTATCATTCCCATACTCCACCACACTTTTCCTACAGGATGCAGGGAGGGACTGGCTTACTCACTCTGAACTTGCGGCAAAATTCATCAATGGAGCTGATCTCTGAGCCTTGAACCTGTCGAAAGGCAGCTTTGTATTGGACCAGGAGCCTGGAGCATGCTGCAGTGTACCTAGGGAGAGGACCAGTTGCTGCTGGAGACTGAGAACAGTCTAGCTGGGCTCATTGTGCTCTCCCTCAGCAAGTCTAGATGCAGAAGCTTTCATGGTAGGCTAGGAGGGATAAAGGCTTCCTAATGGGTCTGTACATGAAGGGAGCTCTGGACAAGAGCAGGGAGATTTGGTGAAACTCTCACAGGCAGTCTGTGAGGTGAGGGGTGACTGGGAACTCAGCACAAGAGCCCAGATGTCAGTGTGCTTGCCTTCGACCAAGGTGTCAGACCTCCCTCACCACTGACAGCCCCCAGTCCAGTCACACTGGCTATCATCTCTGAGCAAAGCACCAGCATCCATGCTAGCTACCTAGACTGCAGCGATACCTTAGACCATGCTGTCCCCAGGCTGCAGCTCACCTTCTGAGGTCAGAACCATACCCATCTTTACAGAATGTCCCTGGCTGATATGGCCCCGAAGCTGGTAGCCACCAGGAGCACCCTCATAGTGTGAGCTCAAGACCTACTGAACCCACAAGCTTCACAGAAGGGAGAGACATAGAGACATGCTTCTGAAGATTGGTGGCCATCAACAGCTAAAGCCACAGGCTTGCTTACTCATTAGGGGTGACACAGTCCTTGATGTATGCTTTCTCCAGTGCCTGCATTGTCTTCACCACCGCAAACAGCTCTGCCATGTTGTCATACCTAAGGCAAAGCCATCCATCAGGCTGCAGCTCCAAGGCAGGGGAGCCTCAGCATCTGGAACCAAAAGCAGCCACCTGCTGCTCTGCAGTTAGGACACAGGTCAGCCCACCTCTCACTCCATCCCTGGTGGACAATCCTCAGGAATTGTCTCCCTAGCCCGATCCCATGTCCTCCCCAACCATTGGTGTGGTGATGGGTTTGGAAGGAAACTGCTGGGCCTGCCATGGATGCTGGGTAATGCGCATGGTTGTATGCTGGTGGCAGCTCAGCTATTTGACTTACTTCTCCCGCTCCCGAGCATTCTTGTACAACTTTACTTCCTGTTGGAAAAGTGGGCAAGTCAGTCTGCATCAATAGGTGGTTATAGAACCAGTGACAGCCACATGATGTTTGCAGCAGCCACGGCCAGTTAAGTATCTACTACTCACCTCATAAAGCTCCGGCTTGTTCCCAGGGGCTGCAACAGAGCAGGCAGCAGTTGACAGATGGTCACAAGACAACCCCAGGCAGTCCCATTTCAGTTACTTCCCTGAGAATGTCTCCCATGCCATGTCCTGGAGAGCTCCAAGGGAGCTACAGAATAGGGTTATAGCCTTATCTCCTACCAGCATTACCTCTAAGAGGCTGCAGACAGAATGCTGGGTTTAACACTCCACCTACAACAAGGTAGTCATACTTTCTTGATAGAACCATGATATGGTACAAATAAAAATCTGGCCGGGCGTTGGTGGCAAACGCCTTTAATCCCAGCAGAGGCAGAGGCAGGCTGATCTCTGTGAGTTCGAATCCAGCCTGGTCTACAGAGCGAGTGACAGGACAGGCTCCAAAGCTACACAGAGAAACCCTGTCTCAAAAAACCAAAGGGGTGGGGAGGGGAGGGGAGAAACGGTCACATACTTCACAACCTATGCAGGCTCCAAAGCTACACAGAGAAACCCTGTCTCAAAAAACCAAAGGGGGGGAGGGGAGGGGAGAAACAGTCACATACTTCACAACCTACGGTTGGAAACCCACAGACACTCAGGATGCCAGGGGCTCTGACCACAATGAAATTCATGTCTACTCAGCAGGGTGCTGCTGGGTCCTCAGAATTCCACCATCAAATGGCTCTGGCACTAGGCACTCCCCAAGGCCTATGAGTGAGATGGAGGTGGCAGTGTGGTCCTTTCCCAGCAGTCCTGCCATAGGGAAAGCCTGGGCCCCTCCATTTCCTTCTGGCTTGGGCTACACTCACCTCCAATGCCAGGTGTAGCCGGGATCCCGTGAAACATCCTGCAGGCCCTGGCAGCTACAGCACAGAGACCTGGGAAGCAAAGTCAACACTAATTCCAGGTGCCCCTTATACCTCAAGAACTGGCCTGGGATGTGTGTGTCAGAGCTTTGTGAATAGCTTCCCTGCTCTCTATAGGAACAACACAGGGGAAGCAAAGTCAACACTAATTCCAGGTGCCCCTTATACCTCAAGAACTGGGCTGGGGTGTGTGTGTCAGAGCCTTGTGAATAGCTTCCCTGCTCTCTATAGGAACAACACAGGAACTGTCATGGAGAAGCTGTTAACAATGAAAGAGAGGGTGCAGGTGCCAGGGGAGTGCTGTCTGGAAGCTTGGTGAAGGTAGGGAAGAGCAGCTGATAGAAGAATTGGGATAGCATCTTGAGCTTGGAGGAAGGGTCCAGTGTTGCAACACCTTTCAATGGAAATGAACATGGAAGAACTAGGTGTCTAGGGCTCTGGGAGTGTGAGTGGAGGACCGTTTTACCCTAATTCTGTGGGAGCTACTGGAGGAATGAATAAAGGCAAGCTTGCAGTCTAGAAATGGTGGAAGCAGGGTCCACCAGGAAAGGTGCTCTCTAATAAGAAAGTTGATGTCAGTGGCTCAGCCAGCTAAAACTCGCCTCGAGATTTGAAATGGGCTGAAAAGAAAAGTTCAATGAAGGTAGGCAAACCGAGATGGAGTGGCTTGATGAAGAGCCTGAGCTACTGAGGTCCCAGGGGCTAGGAACAGCCAGCGGAGTCCCCAGAGGAAGATGGGCACCCTCACAGCCAGGGAGACCTGAGCTAGGAGCCCGTGGTGTCACCTGACAGCGCCCACCGCCTACTGAGACACGGACCGCGCGGCAAGGGCCGCTGAGCCCCAAAGGAAATGGGATCGGGACACTGAGCCCAAAGGGTTCCTTTGCTGTGGGACCCGGTGGCCGTAGCCGCTGCGTACCTGGGGCGTTTGGAGGCCCGGAGATGGCGACAGCAGCTCAGTGTACGCTTTTTCCGCCTGTGCCTGCCGGGAAGCCCGATCGGCAGCTCGGCGCTCACTCTCCCCACCTAAGCCTACGCACAGAGCAGGCCCAATCAGAGGGTCGGCGCTCGTCCTCTCGGCCTGGGCCTGCGCTCTGGGGCAGCAGCGCCTGTCAAGTCTCACGTCGTCCACCCCTTTCCCAGACAGCCACAGGAAGGGGACAGCAGCTTAGTTTATTAAGTTTTTTGTGGGGGGGGTGGGGGGGGGTAGAGACGACAGGACCAGGGTCAGAGGCATTTAAAGAAGAGCTTGGGACCTTGGTCCAGTGAGCACGCGCTGGCCGGCAGTCTCCGACACACTGCATCTCGGTCCCTTGTGCTCAGGCGTTTGCTGCACAACTGCAGCTCCTGCAGCTGCATGAAGATCTTGTCCCAGATGTCGGAGTTCAGGGGCCCCTGGATGGAGCAGCCTTGGGGGCGGGAGGGGGGGGAGTAGGTTTAACTTCCAGGCAGGTTTTTCCATCTCACACGCTCGAGCCGTGTTGCTCATGCCATACCTCGGAGCCTACATTTTGGTTTGCCCTGATGTAAAATGTGTACTCAACAGGGCTTTGCATATTTGTATGTTGTGGGCCCAAGGATCCCTGGAGGCTACTGAATACCAGGATTGATCGTTAGGCCAGAGATCTCAGAAGGCTCAGGATACCAGGAAGCTGTATAAAAGGGCACAGGTGCCAGAAATACCAGCGTGTGGAGCAAATCAAATTAAGAACACAGGGATCCCCTCTGCTCAGCTTTTATCAAATTTCAGCTGAGCAAGGCAATGCCTGGCCAGTCTACCAGGTACACCTCAAAGGTGGAGAATGCCTTGGTGTAGCAAAACAAGCTACCTTATCAGTAAGTAGGGCATGAGTAATCCTTTCTACCAGGGATGAGGAAAGAGAGGGCCCTTTAGTGGAGCTTGCACCACCCTAGATTCCATCCATCTTCCGGCCAAAAAGAATGAGGAAAGAACTCTTCCTGTAAGTGACAATGGTTTGATACTCTCCTGACCCAGAAAATCCTGCATCAAAATGCAAATCAAGAGGTTCAAATCTTCCGTTTTTTTTTTTTTTTCAGACAGGATTTCTGTGTAGTCCTGGCTGTCCTGGAACTTGCTTTGTAGATCAGGCTGGCTTTGAACTCAGAGATCCACCTGCCTCTGCCTCCCTAGTGCTAGGATTAAAGACCACCATCTCCAGAACTCACAGAGATCCACCTGCCTCTGCCTCCCTAGTGCTAGGATTAAAGACTACCATCTCCGCCCACAGCATTGATTTTTTTTTTTTGTTTAATGAATTTAAGGCTTTAGCTGTAGATTCTCTAGTTACAAAGCAGCTAAGATGCACTGTTAAAAGTAGAGATCATTGTGGATTAATCCAGGCATGAGCTACCCCTGCCTCAATGAGATGATCCTCTCTGCAAAGGAACAAACTGTTCCCAGCCAAGTGGCTTCACAGAAGAAAAGATAACCCAGGAAAAGACTAAAAAACAAAAATGTGCAGGGTGGCGCGGCACAGGCTTTTAACCCCAGCACTCGGGAGGCAGAGGCAGTCAGATCTCTGTAAGTTTGACGCCAGCCTGGTCTACAAAGTGAGCTCAGGAAAGCTACGGCTGCACAGAGAAACCCTGTCTCCAAAAACCAAAGAAAAAGTATGACACAAGAATAAATTCAGGGGAGGATGGATATATAAATATGATTAGTAATTAAAGAATAAAAAAAGAATAAATTAAGCATTAAATAAAAGCGAGTGAGGACCAGAGAGATAGCTGAATGGTTAAGAGTACTTGCTGCTTTTACAAAAGATCTCAGTTGGGTTCCCTGACCCGACTTGCATTGGTGGCTTACATTCATCAGTAATTCCAGTTCTAGGGGTACCAGACACGCACATGGTGCACATACATACAGGTAAAACACTCATACAAATAAAAATAGGCAAATCTTTTTTGTTGTTGATTTGTTTTGAGAAAGGTCTCCATGTAGCCCCAGCTGTTCTGAGACAACTAGTCTAAATTCTGGGATTAATGGCATGCACCATTGTATCTTGCACAAGTAAGTAAATCTTTATAAAAAAAAAAAAAAATTTTTTGGGGGTTGGGGGCACATGCCTTTAATCCCAGAACTCGGGAGGCAGAGGCAGGCGGATCTCTGTGAGGTTGAGGCCAGCCCGGGCTCCAGAGCAAGTGCCAGGATAGCCTCCAAAGCGACACAGAGAAACCCTGTCTCAAAAAGCCAAAAAAAAAAAAAAAAAAAAAAAAAAAAATTCATTTAAATTTATTTTATATGAATGGTGTGAAGGTGTCAGAGCCGTGGGAACTGGAGTTATAGATAGTTATGAGCTGCCATGTGGGTGATGGGAATTGAACCCAGGTCCTCTGAAAGAACAGCCAGTGCTCTTAACCACTGAGACATCTCTCCAGCCCTGGTCCTTAATGCTTTTTGTTGTTGTTGACTACTTTTTTTCCAAGACAGGGTTTCGCTGTGTAACAGCTCTGGGTGTCTTGGAACTTGCTTTGTAGACCAGGCTGGCCTCGAACTCACAGAGATATGTCTGCCTCTGCCTCCTCAGTGCTGGAATTAAAGTGGTGTACAATCACCACCCAGCTTTTTCCCTTCATGCTTTTTTTTTCATTCAAAATTTTGTTTTTAGGGGGGCTGGAGAGATGGCTCAGAGGTTAAGAGGGCCAACTGCTCTTCCAGAGGTACTGAGTTCAATTCCCAGCAACCACATGGTGGCTCACAACCATCCGTTATGAGATCTAGTGCCCTCTTCTGGTGTGCAGATATACATGGAAGCAGAATGTTGTATACATAATAAATAAATAAAATCTTTTAAAAAAAAATTTGTTTTTAGTGGAGCAGTAGTGGCACACTACTTTAGTTCCAGGACAGCCTCCAAAGCCACAGAGAAATCCTGTATCGAAACTGAACTTAAAATAAATAAATAAATAAATAAATAAATAAATAAATAAATAAAAATTGGTTTTTAGCTAGGCAGTGGTGGAGCATGCCTTTAATCCCAGCATTTAGAGGCAGATGCAGGCGGATCTCCGAGTTTGAGACCAGCCTAGTCTACAGAGAAAATTCAGGAGAGTCTCCAAAGCTATAGAGAAACTCTGTCTTGAAGGAAAGAAAGAAAGAAAGAAAGGAAAATAGAAATAAATAAAAAGTTTGATATGTACTGGTGTTGTATCTGCACCTAAGCCTAGGTATCATGTGAAATCAGGCTGCCTGTAGAGGCCAGAAGGTAGCTTCATGTTCCCTAGAATTGGAGCTATAGAGGCCATGAGCTGCCATGTAGGTGCTGAGAACAGAGGTCCTCTGGAAAAGCATCTCTTAACTTCTGACCATCTCCAGAGCCTCCTTTTGTTTTTGAGACAGGGCTTTACTATGCAGCTCAGGGCATGTCTGAAGTAGTCTGCCTTAGCCTCCCTAGTGCTGGGTTATAGGTATGAGTCATGGCTCCTTTCTGCCATATTCTAAGTAGCTGGACAGAGGTAGTTTCACCCCTTGTCCCTGCTAACCATGACAGCCTCATAGAGCCAGGCTGGTGACAGTCACTGCCCCTTCCTCTGGCAGTTCCCTGGAAAGTATGTCCTGCATTAGGTGAGGCATGGCAAGGAGTCACTGTAGCTTCCAACTCTTACCTGACAAGCCAAGGAAACTTAGTCCTTGGGGCCGCTCTTGGAGGATAGACAAGAGTTCCTCCAGACTGGCACAGCTGACCTCAGGATTGGCAGACAGGTCCAGAGAGACAAGTGAGGGACAGCAAGGGAGACATCTGGAATAACACGGGAATTAAAGGGATGAGCATCCAGGGAAAGGCCCCGCTTTATTACTAGGGAAGGCTGACCCAGTCAAACCCACAGCTCTGGGAGCCAGGGACCAAGCCTAGCAGAATCTGCTCCAGCGTGGCACAGGCAGGACCTGATGGCCAGCTCTGAATAACTGACACTGCCCTGAAAGACAGCTAAGGAGCTTAAGGAGGGTAAGTATGGTCCTGGGTAGTGTTCACATCAGGCTCCTGGGATCACAGGACCATCAGTGGCCGAGTGATGGTACGTTACCTGCTCAGTTCTCTCACAGCCTTGTCACACAGGGAGTTTGCAGACAGGGTTAGGTGGGCCAGAGCACAGCCTTCCTGGATGTAAACACAGAGCAAAAGGCCATGCCTAGTGGGCACCTATCCACTTTCCTCCTGGCAAAGACCCACACTTAACAAAGCTGTTTGGGGAGGGGAAGGAAACATCTCTCTTCAGGCTACAGGTTATAGATGCCTTGTAAAGATCACAGGAGTAAGCTGGCATGGTGGTGCATGCCTTTAATCCCAGCACTGGGGAGGCTGTGAGTTCAAGGCCAGCTTGGTCTACAGAGTGAATTCCAGGACAGTCAGGACTATTTCACAGAGAAACCCTGCCTTAAAAAAAATACAAAACAGGGCTGGGAGATGGCTCAGAGTTTAAGAGCACCAACTGTTCTTCCAGGGATCCTGAGTTCAATTCCCAGCACCCACATGGCAGTTCATAACTGTCCATAACTCTAGTCCCTGGGGATCTGACACCAATGCACATAAAATAAAGTTAAAAAAAAAAAAATCACAGGGACCTGGTGTGTCCCTTGGAACTTGTCTGAAGTAACACCACCCTGCTCCCAGGAGTCCACGGGTGCTCTTCCCAACCCCCTCTCCCTTTCCTCAGACTCTGCACCACACTGCATGGTTTCAGCTGTAGGACCTTGGGTTTTTGGCCTACAATGAACAGAACATTGTGTTCTAGTTTGGCAGTCCCCTCCATACCTCATACCTTGGTCAAGTATTTGACAACAGGCTCTACGAGACTCAAGTTGCTCTTGCTGGCTGCCACAGAGCTAAGCTCCAAACGCAGGAGGGTATGGGCCGGTAAACTCTGCAGCACCCTCGCCAGGGCAGGAGCACCGAGCGTGTTGTAAGATAAGGACAAGGTCTTCAGGTGCTCAACATCTGTACAGGGCAAGAACTGGTTAACCCATGCAGCTACCCACTGCCCTTTCCCTATCCTAGTGTGCTGACTCCAGACGCCTTGTGAAGCCTTTAAAGAA